CTCCCTGAGCTGCAACGATTGCAATCGAAAATTTTGCCTTGACTATGACTTGCCCACGTGTAAAGATGCGAAAGAGGAGGACGTATTTACTACGTGTTTCCGTACGAGATAACTTTACTTGTCTTGCAACTTACTTGTGCTGACCAGCCGTTCGGGTATGCAGAGAGAGACTCTAGGAAAGACGAGGCCATAGTGTTCATTTTTATAATTGCTACAAGCGGACTGCTAGCGTGGGCTGTCCTCAAACCATGGATACAAAAGTATATCGAGGCATGTCATATACCCTTGTACTGGTCATCCCAGCTTGCTTTAATGCTAATTCGGCGATAGGCGGCAAGAGAACGGCGATCATACATCCCTGTGTCTGAGAATACAGACCGATAACTGCCACCAGATATCTTCCAGATACCCATAATGAGTAGCTACCTTCTACGGAGCACTTCAAAACTCTCTGTATATTTTTAGATTCATAGTTACGAAAGTTACGCTTTTGGAATTGCCGTACAAGGCCGCTTTAAAGACTCAAAATAGCTATGGTAGTAGCTTCTGTACAACATCTACAAATTGCAGGTCTTGTCAGCAAAAATCATGACATTCCTGGGCAATGTAAACCATGGGCCGGAACCGAGGCATGCTCAGATATAATTTTTTTTTAATGATAAATAGGCCGATGCGCTGGTTCAGAGAAAGTCCCTTATCCTGGAACCTAGAGTTAGTCGGCACTACCAATGTACATTATTGGCACAGCGCCAACTAAGTCATATTAATACATCTGATTCTACGCACCAGCATGAAACACTGCAAACATGCGAATCTTAACTGCACCGATAGCAGGGGTTCCTTGAGGGAAGAAGTATAGGATGTCGCCCGGCTCGAATGGAGTAAATATCCGATGAATCCGAGGTACATTCTATTAGTAAGATGTAAACTGCTAACTAACTAACTAACTAGTGAACTCCGACACACTCGCCATCATCCACATGAGAAATGTTTTGTGATGACCAACGCAAACTGGTTCTTACGAGGTCAGGGTCGGGCCTAGTTGTCTTATTTGGATATGATCCCCACCGGTCAAGAACAGGCTGCGGACTTGGTACCCACAATCTAAAATATTAATTTCTTTCAAGGATACGTACTGTACTATCAAAGGCTTAAAACGCATGACGCGAGGTTTCAGAACAACATATTAGAAAGTAGTCCAAATGAACGCTCTAGACACTCTTCGCTCGTACAGCTCTGCCGGTCACACAGCGGGTCTCGGATTCAACGGCACAGCATTCGGAAAATCTGCCTTGCTACACTCGGTGTACCACAGACAGGCCTGAGGGAGAAAAATGTTACCTAAATAGAACCTGTGTTCGCCACCGGCCCTTCAACTCATGTCACATATACTCCGTACCACCAGTATATACTAATAGAACGCATCTATCTAGTAGTACCGCAACAATATTCGATACCTACCTAATGATCGCAGGAACTTTCAACTCGTCCACTGAGGTGTCATTTAGTACGCGCTTAGGTTCTGGTGAACTGAAATTTAAGAAGAATAAGTTCGAGTCAGTCTCAAACTTTAATCTCCATTTGTTCAAATCTTTGACCCGGATCCATGATCATGTGCAGCCTACTATCCCGTTTTTGGGACTAGCGTACTGTCATTGAGTTGGATCTCCAATCAGGGTAACCGTTGAGCCGGGAATTCCATAGATTACTTCCGCCGTTTTACATGACAGAACCCTGGAACTTTTTGCAGGCAACCCTTCTCCTTTCTCCTTCATAGTGCTCTCCTTCTTTTCTTCCCTGCCTCCCGACTCTTCCTCATACTGTGCACTCCCCGACTGTGATACGCCATACTTCCACCACCTAATCATAATAACTTTTCCTCTCTATATCTCTATCCCACCGGGTCTCGGGCGCTTACCAAGTCGAGATCGAAACACAGGAAAAAGAGAAGAAGAAGAAAAGCACTTATCACAGAGTTCACAGGAGGTTAAAAAAAGGATAGTCTCAGAAGGAGACCTGTCGTTTTGTGGAGGGCTAGCCGTAAGAGTCTTGGACGTTTCCAAAGATCATGGTATTAACACAACAGAGAAGACAACCTGCCTCGGACGACCAGTTCCCAACCACTCAGCTATTCCTTCTAGGTATGTAAAACGAACCAAGCAGTTTCTTTCCTTGTTTCTTTTTCTTTTTTTTTTTTTTTGCTTCACTTGCAGGTGCTGACACTTGTTTGACTATAGCAATATGCCGTGTTGCGGAGCCTATTGCCTTGACTTCTATCTTCCCATACTCATGGGTGATGGTCAAGGACTTCAACGTGGCTAATGGATCCGATGCTTCCTTCTTTGCTGGTATACTTGTATCGGCCTTTTCACTAGCCGAAGCGCTCACCGGTATGTTTTGGGGAAGCCTGTCAGATCGTGTCGGTCGCAAACCTGTCCTGCTTTCTGGCTGCCTCGGAACCATGGCATCCCTCCTCATTGTCGGCTTCGCGTCGAATTTTTGGGTAGCTCTCTTTGGTCGGGCCCTCGGAGGCATCTTAAACGGAAATATCGGTGTCATTCAGACTATGGTCGGTGAACTAGTCAAAAGACCTGAGCATGAACGTATGGTCCCTCTATCTTATTGCTTCCGTGGCTGGAACCTTGGCTGATAGTCAAATGTGTAGCTCGAGCTTATGCTGTGATGCCATTTGTTTGGTCAATTGGCACAATTATTGGGCCAGGTATGTATTAAGGGGCATTAGTCGACTAAACAGCATAGCGGAAGATGTTAACCATTTACGCCATCGCAGCTATTGGGGGGTTACTTGCAAAGCCTACTGAAGGTTTCCCTTCCTTGTTTCACCACGATGGCCTCTTTGGCAGATTCCCTTATCTCCTGCCAAACCTTGTTTGTTCTGTCTTACTCCTTCTCAGTATCATCTTCAGTTGGCTCTTCCTGCAAGAGACTCATCCCGATATGCAGCCTTGGAATGTTACCGAAAATCTCGATAACAGATCCGCAGAACGCCCTCTTCTAGCGACTGCTGGGGCAACTGCCAATGCAGGGGCGGACCTACGAGCCGAATCATATGGAACTTTCAACCAGGTTCACCTATATGACGACGAGGATTGGATGGTACGATCGGATGGTTCAAGGCCCGAGAAAAGTCCCCAAAGACAACTTATCTTCACAAAACGAGTCATAATGCTCATCGTTGCGTTGGCGATCTTCACATACCACTCCATGACGTATGACCATTTATTGCCTATTTTTCTGCAGGACAAGAAGTTTCGGGACGCACCTATTGTTGGCAACTCGATATTGAAATTCCCCGGTGGTGTTGGTCTCTCAACCAGAACAGTCGGCCTAATCATGTCTACCGACGGCGTCATTGCACTCTTCATTCAAAGCATCATTTTCCCTGCTTTGGCACATTATTTGGGAGTGTGGAGACTTTTCGTGATTGTGACCATCCTTCATCCGGTAGCTTATTTCATAGTCCCATTCCTTATTTTTCTCCCTCGCAGTCTGTTGTTCTTCGGCATCTATGGATGTTTAGTCGTTCGCAATATCCTTGCAATCATTGACTACCCCGTCTTGTTGATTCTTATTAAGCAAGCTAGCCCTTCCGACTCGGTCTTAGGAAAGATCAATGGCCTTGCTGCTTCCGCTGGAGCTGCTTCTCGCACTATCGCCCCACCTATCGCCGGTTATCTGTACAGCACCGGTGCGGAACTTCATTGTACTGCACTTGCATGGTGGGGAAGCACTCTAGCCGCAATCGTCGGCGCCATGCAGCTGTGGTTCATGGAGCGAAAGAAACACTCGTCTGCTACAATCCAGCCAGTCGCCCCCTGCCACTATCTGCCGAATGAGACCCACCCTCGGAGAGACACCGTCCATATCATAGTTACGGGTACTGATGTAAGCACTCCTGATGTCTGATAATCTAGGGGATATACAGACGGTGCTGCAGACAACGACGGGATCATGAGGCTGACGAGTGGTACTCATTGAAAACGCCTCAGTCAATGGATTGGTTTTTGCGATGGGCAGTGAAAACAGTACAGACAGAATTTTTCTCCTTTTCTTTATTTTTTCAATTGTCGTTCCCATAGCCTTGCGATCACAGTTGAAGGACAAAAAGTTCTGGGCTTTTTTTTATTTGGCGTGGTGTCTGGGTGTTCTATGTATTAGCTATGAGTTTGAATTATATCGTGTTTACATGACGTCCGTCCCGTAGCCTCTTCTTACCTGGAGTTTGCTCACTTCCAGAAGCACAACACCAATACAATTTGTAAGTCAACGAGAACACTTTGAAGCTTGAGCGTTCGCCCATCCCAAATCCGATTCACGCGGATAGTACCTAATTGATCTAGTTTACAGCATTAATGGGTGTCTCTGCAAGCATTGATAGGTGTGTCATTGTGTGCGCCACAAAAAAGTGATCTTTGAGTAGCTACCATCTAGTGCATTCATCATTTGCTTTAGCTAGATGGGACTCCCTCTGAACAGAATTCATATCCATTGCTAAATCAGAAACGACTCAAAGCTTCTTTTAAGTGCGCAAAGCGAAATGATGCATATCGGCGCTATCCTGCCCCAGTTGCCGCGAACACAATGCTGTGGAATCCTCCTATGTGATGTAGGAGACTATCGATGTTAGAGTAGTGGGGAGGGCCCACGAAGGATGGAACATTGTACTGCGTAGATATTGCCATCTCAAGACGAAATCTCAATATCATAGGTGCTACCCTAGGGCGGTGAGAATTTTGTAAAATTTCACCGCCCTGCCGCTAACCATACTATTCCTATAGGGGAATAGCTTTGTTTACAAACATCCCGGCAACAGACGAAAATAATAAACGGTTGGACTTGCTCTCATTCTCAACATTGTGTCATATGGACCTCTAACATTTTGCATATATACTGCTCTCGCATATCGCGCTATTACCTGCTCTGGGTTCCAGAATAGGCACTCTACTTGTTATTGCATCTTGACCCATTACCCCATTGTCATGTCCGCACCTCTCTCTCCCTTAACGCCCTCGCGCCAGAATTCACAGCCCTTTTCCCCAGGAATTAGTGGTCTGGTCGCGCGGGAGGATGTCGTTGATAATATGGTCGCGTCAAATGATAGACTAGAAAATAGCTTCTCAAGCCCAAGAAAAATGGTTGACGATCTGAGCGCAGATGCCGAAAGGCGTCAGAGCTACACTGCCACACAAGAGCCGAACGAGCAGGACCTAGATTATGATAACACCGATCCCATACTACCGCCTAGCTCGCCATTTCAATATGATGCTAGGGATGATACAGTCGACTTCCAGATGCTCCGGAGCCAACAATTGTCGACGACCCCAAGGAAACGTTCTTACGAACATGTACCCGAGGACGATGTGTTAGATGATAGATACAGGAAAGGCACTGCTCGAAGAGATATGCCGGACATCAGTGTCTATACCGATGAGGACGCCAGCATCAATAATGAACAAAGCATCAGAGAAAGTGTTGGACTAGAGATTGGTAACAGCCTCATGGAAGAAAAGCACCACGAAGGAATGAGCACAGTGATCCACGAGAACAATGACAATGATGCCTCGAACGAAAAGGAGGGTAAGAGCCTGCACGAAAATGATGATATGATTGACGACACAAACGATTCCATGGATGAAACATGCCTCAGCACGTTTTCCGCTGTTACCAATGTCGACATGACATCATTCGCACATCTACGGGGCGACTCACCGTTGAAGGCCAGACAAGCCCTTCCGAGTAGCCCTAGTAAGCTACAAGGTGATCTGGACGAAAGGGTGACCCAGGAACTCCTACCACTGCTCGACAATCCCCCAGAATAAGCGGCCTGGTTGATTTCGGCTCACCCACTCCTAGAAAGAGAGATGCAAGAGCTAGCATAAATCCAAGCGAGACTCCCAACTTGCTTGACTTGTCAGACCAGCCCAGCTTTTTCCCGCGCAAACGCTACAGCATGCAAAATGAGCGGTACTCTCCGTCACGGCGATCACCATTAAGGACTGTCCGGGAATCAACCAGGTCACCTGCAAAAGTGTCATTACTCGACTTTGATCTCCCTGCTGCTCCAACCCCCCGATCCATCCCTTCAGTGACACCACGGGAGCTCGAGTCTCTGAAGTCCGGTTTTCTTTCAGAGATTTCTTCGCTCAAAGCTACGCTAAGTGGCAAAGAGGCGGAAGTTGCCAGTCTTAAGCAGGCTGTTGCAGACGCCGAACGGCGTGTTGGAGAGACATCAGAGGAGGTTCGGAATGAAGCTGCCCGGAGGGAGACCTTAGAAATTGAACAAGCTGAGTGGCAGAGAAGAGGTCAGGAGATGGAAGATGTCTTGCAATCTGTCAAGGCTGAAATGATGGAAGGTGAGCGGGAGAGAGAACAGTTGATGAGACGAGCCGAGGAAATGGAGAAGGGCAAGGAGCAGTTAGAAAGCAGGGTGGTTGAACTAGAGACACAATTGAGCTCGGCTCGCAAACCAGCGTCGAACGACAAGGATGCCTCTGAACGTGCGCAATTCGGCAAGACTGCCGAGGAAACGGCGAAGGAAGTTCAAGATGCCGTTGAGAAGGTCGCCCGTGAACTTCACACACTCTATAAGAGCAAACATGAGACCAAGGTTGCTGCCTTGAAGAAAAGCTATGAAGCACGTTGGGATAAACGACTGCGAGAGGCTGAGAACAAGCTAAAATCAGCTTATGAAGACAACGAGCGACTCAAGGTTGAGCGGGATGCAGCTCTTTCGGAAGTCTCCCAGCCTGATCTTAGCATGATCACGCGGGAGAAGGACGAGCATGAAGCAGAGAAACGTGTCCTAGAGGCTCAAATCAAGGGTCTACAGCAGGAATTGGGCGCGCTCAAAGATGACAGTGAGCGATTGCACCATGAGCTGAAAATCGAACGGGCTGAGAAAGGCGAGCTCGTCGCTGCTGTGGATGAGTGGTTAGCAATCCAGCAGAATCAGCCGTCAACCCAGGATGGCCCTCAGTCCCCAAGACCGCAGGCGGATACTTCTCCCGAGCCAACGCCAGTTGAGGTTGCGTCGGAGGACTTCAGACAAAGCATTAGCCGCAGTAGTTCAAGCAGCATACGTCCCCCGAGCACGGCGTCTAGCAACGGTGAAAAGAAGATACCAAGGATTCCAGCACCGGGAAACCGACAGGCCCGCGGGAACAGTGGAGGAAAGTCTGGAATTGCTGTCTTCACCCCAGGTCGCAGTGGTATCATGGGCTCGATAGAGCGAATGGGTCGCGGTGGTGTGTGAGAATCGGGAGTTTCTGGCAGAAGCCTTCTCTATCTACCTTTTCGTTGTTTTTCGTTCTGTTCTGTATATCTTCTCTTTCATGGTTTCTCCTCCGGACTTTACTTTGACGACGATCATGTCTCTTTATTCCCCCCTGGCGGTGCGCTGTTTGAACTGGTCCTCTGTTTGCTGAGTATGTGCTTATGGTTCTTTTCGACATTGTTGCAATGGGTTTAACGACCTATTAGTGAATAAAATCGATTCTTGATACATTCCTTAGCCACGAGCAACTTTCCTCGATAGGGTAGTAAGTGACATCCATGATACCCAGGAAGTCGATGCTCTTCTCTGTGTAGGCTATGCAAGTATTGCTATATAGAGATCGCCATCTCATCGAGCCCAGTTATTTTCGGATAGACTATATAGTGCCAGACTAGAACGAGTGTAACTTGGCGCTGTTAGTCGAACAATAGGACATACTGATAGGTTGGATGCCCTTCTTGCTCCAATACGTATATATAAACCCAATGGATCCTAGAGCCAATGCCATTCATGACCATTTGTATAAACAGCGATTAAATATCGTAGATACATACAGAGTCAACCTCTAACCAGCCCAACGGCCTCGAGGTACGTACTAGTAGCTACACCGGCGCCGCTCCCAGATGAGAGAAACACATATTCACCACCAAAGTTGGAGCATCTGATTGGATAGGCATCTTTATTCGCCTAAATGTAGTACGAAACTACTAGTAAATATCCCCTCTGGCTTGTTGGGGCATTAACGGCACGCCCCCCACTCTCTACTGCATACCCCGCGATCTCAATGAAGGCCATTTTGCTTGTGGATGACTTCCTACGCAACAATCCATCCTTATAGGTTACTAGCCAAGGCCCAGGAAGATCGGGTTACCGCAAACGTGGGGTGGCAGCTACGTCGGACCGCCTGGCCCAGCTTCGGGAAGATGTCCGACCTGCTTAAGACCCGATTACGCTAGTGAATGCGAATGAGGGATTAAAGAGAGTAGACGTAAGGACATGCGCTAGGAATTAAGTTTGGTTGTCAACTTGCTTGCTCTGACTCAGTCAGACGTATTGGTGGCTTGAGCGATGCGCCATGGTCTCGCATCTGTCTCACTCGGTCTGTTGTTTATCACACACTCTCCTAGAATAGATAGAGGGGGAGGGTTGGAAAGGCAGCAATTGAAGCATCGGGACGGATATGGCAGTCATTGACATGGGCTGAGGGAATTTGGTGATTGAATTGACCGCTCGTAGACTTCTTATTGTTGCCTGTGGTCCAGCCGTTATTCGTTACGTACAGACTATCTTCGAGTCTTGGCGCTGTCTGGGGAATCGTCGTGATCTTGATTCTTGGTTTTCCTCCCCGGCTTGCCCCGGGGTCAAAGAAATTTTAGTCACATTATGGGGCCGCGCCTGGGGGAGCCTGGGGTAGTTGGAAAACTTTTGACCAGTGCCGCGTTTCTGGCGACTTCGGCGCGGGAAGCGAAATCTCTTGGTATTCCTTGGAGAAGGAGATAGTCGAACCTGGACGGGCGGCGCACAATGTTATTAAAAGTGAATACTAATAACTACAGTGTACCACACTTTCGGAGAGGCTCCATTATTCCGAATGCTGTTCAGGTGGTCCTTGGAGAAACTATTCCCGAACAGTCGGTAGCCCGCGTTCCTCTGTTCACCTGGAACAATCCAGTCGCAGTCATTGGTTCTCCTCGTGCCAGATATGGATAGGCCCACCTAGTCCCACTTTGGTATCCGCTGGCGTAGTATCGATTGGTGTCAGTGCCGAAAAA